AGCAGAACAGAGGCAGATCAGAACTGGGTCTCTTGTATCCAGTTCAGAGCTCTAATTCACAGGTTACAGTGGTTCACTGAGCAGTTTTTAAAACATGGGTATTAGAGTGTGCAGTGGGAGTCAGAGAGTTTGTATTGGGATGATCTGCACACCAGGAAATGCTAAAAGTGTAAAGAGACGGTCCTGGAACTATAAAAAAATATCATGCCTCTTCTGACCACTCTGTCTGAGAGTAGCTGTGTCCTTGGTGTGAGGGTTGTTAAAAAAGCAGCTCCCACATGAAAGTAGGATCCCCAGCAATGCACAAAACAGTTTCTGTACAGAGCAGAGAGCCAAGACATCACGAGGTTTGTGTGGTAACAACAAGGGGAGAGTAGGACACAAGGAGGATACTTGTGTCAGAGCAGGCTCCAGGAAACACACAGGAGAAACTATGCTTTTGAAATGTCCCCACCGATTTCACCACTTCTGTGCTATTCCAGAACAGCTGCTTGAGAGGTAAACAGATGAGGAACCCACTTCAGACAAGAAGTGATCTGTGGCACAGCAAAGCCCCTGTGCCAAGAAACATTTATTCACTGCTGTGCCATGGATCATGTGAGGTCATCAGACCCCAACAGGCTCAGCTGTCCTCTTCATGCTGTGCTCTGAAGAGAGAGATCTGTCTCTGGCAAGACAGACCTGCTGCTTGCAGTGCTGGGAGGGGAAATACAGATACCAAAGACAAGAGTAACAAACTTGATGGCACTTCATACTTCATGGAATGAGAGATCAGTTCTGAGCTCCAGGAACTGGAGGATACATAATATGTTGTCCCACTCACAGGATACCAGAGTCAGTTCATGCTCACAGTAAATTCTTTGAGACAATTTCAGTGGAAGTGAGAGGGAAGGACCATTGCTCCATGACACACACATCAACATTTCTCTGTCTGTTACTACAGGTACTTGACTTACTTGTGAGAACTGATTTTCTAGACTTCCTACAGTGTCCTGCTTTCATGGCCACATCTTCTGGTTGAGCTGAAGTGCCAGAAACTCATCTGCTGGAGCGACCTACGGCCCATGTCCTTCTGTATCTGCAAAGAAGAGGACAGCCTGTCATGCCTGTCCTGGAGCCACATCAGGTACACCTGGCAGAGAAGCACAGGCAGCTGTCACCATACCACAGCCACTCCCAGAGGTGGCATCCCAGCAGTGATGCCCAATGAGAGCATCCCAACCATCAGTGATGCTGTGCACGCTTGTCACTAGAATGATCTCTGAACAATTTTCAGCATGAGCACAGCTCGTTACAGATGGTGGCTCAAGCATCACTGTAACCTTGGCTACCCCTGCAGCAAAAGCTGTGGAACTTGAGTATACTGATAACAATTAAAACATCTGGAAGTGACTCTCCAAAAAGGTTCTATGAATAGAGTACCAAGTATCAGGGTCATCTGCCATGGCACCTCATCTACCCTTGCTTCTCTTGTAAAAAAACAGGAGTAACACATGAGGTGCAATAGCTCTCTTTGCCTACCTTGAAATCACTATTTTGATGTTAAAGACCACATTTTCCAGTTTTCCACCCACCTGGTTAAAAACATTTGACAATTCCTGTAAGGCTTGCACCAAAAAATTCTTTCCACACAACTGGATCTAATCTAAGTCTCTGAGTCCACTATGTCTCTCCATCTCCTGTGCCTCTACATTACCCTTTTAACATGATTAGCACATGATAAAAATGGATTTATCAGTGCTCTCTTATGTCACTTGTCAGTGACATGCTATGTATGTGGAAAGAAACACACTCCCCTCTTCAGTAAGTGCTGAACAACCACCCTGATTCAGACCCCAGACTCCTGTTCTGATGGTGCTTAATAGTTTATTTTGTGTGGTCATATGGGTGGTGGTTTTGGGACCATCTGGACAGGTCTGAAGCTTTGCCTCCCAAATGGATAAAGTGAGTCCTCATTATCTTGTGACTGATCCGCAGTGAGCACAAACAACACTGGATGTGTGAGTAAATGAGGGAAACACCTAGATACTGTTTTTCAAGGCATCTGGAGGCTCAAATGTTCAGCTGCCAATACCCGCAAGACATCTGCCATTTCTCAGCTGGTGGTGTGGTTTCTTTAAAATTTAGTCCTGATTTGTGTTTTAATTTGAAGAACAATTAAACTTTATGCACAAATAAAAGGCAGATCATATACTGGAGAATCTCTATTGGATTTCTAAGCAGGCTAGAAAGTACATAAACACCTTTAGCACAGACTGCTTTTCTTACATCACTACTTTATTCCCTGTCAGGACATAGAAAAACGTGATACACCTTCAACCAAACACACTTTGAAAAATAAAATAAAATTAAAAAAAAAATCTGAAATCCTACCTTAAATAAATCCACTCCATATCTTGGTCCCCTGTGAAGAGCAGCGGCTGTGAAACAGTCCAGAGACAAGAGTGTTCAAACCCCTCTGAAATAAATGCAGGCAGCTCACCTCACGCTGACAGGTTCCTCTCACGGTTGTACTGGCCTTAAAATAACAGTATTGACTTCAAAGCAAGACTTAACCTGGTCTACACTTGCACAAATGACAGAACAAGCCCATTCTTGGCTCAACAGCTTGGGCAGTTCAGATTCGGTTCAGCGCAGAAATTTCGCACCTTCAGGAGGAAATTTTTATTTGAAAAGGAAAGATTAAAGTCTGCAGGAGCTGATGAGGATACCAGGAAAAGCAGGCAGTGAGGCAATGCCAAAAAGCCAACTGTTGCACTTCAGGTCCTCTGCAGCTGCCAGTCTGCTTTCCCTGAAACATCAGAACAGAGAGAACAATACAAAGACACAGGAGCAGTGGAGGGGGGAACCACCTTGACAAGTTTGATAAGCTCAGGAAATGGAGACTTTCTAAAAGATGAGGTGGGATAAAGGTACAGGAAAGGGCAAACAATTCAGATACTCTGTCAAACAGAAACTCTTGAGTCCTCCCATATCATAAAGGTCAATCAAGATTTTATGTAAGATAATGAGATGCAGCTTGACAATAAAAAGTTAGTGTAGTTATACCTGTTTTTCCACTGGATTAAAACATGACAACTTGGCCTTTTTTTATTTATTGAAGGTAATTCTTCTTCAAAACCTTCTAAAGCAATTACAGGGAGCTGTATTTCCCAAGAATGTGCATGCCTGAAGATGGAGCACATTCTAGGAAATACGTGTTCCTTATGCTAGAGGTGTTAATTGCCTAATAGATAATCTATCAGTTTTTCTCTTAAACTAGCTAGAATAGAGTTTCCAAATGCTGGTCAACTCTACATCTACTAAAAGTGATGTAAACCAGGAAAAAGTCCATGCTGGTGAAAAAACAAGCAACAGACCATAACTAAGCCTCATGGGGAAAATCTAAAAGACTGAAGTTCCCACGAGTTTTATTACTGCACCAGTGGAACAGGGATTTCTCCCTAACTGTTCCCCAGCCCAGGGATAGTCAGTCTGTACTTTCTCTAATGTGTAAGGGATGGAAGAAATCAGAAGAGGGCACATAATAAATCAACTGACAGTCTCTGAAAAATAGCTGTCCTGTCTCCTTAATATGAGTGAGAGTAATGTTCTGAGGGCAGGAAGAATTTAGCTTTAGGCCGAAAACATTCCCCTATAGGGGTACAAAAAGTGATCACTCTGTAGTTTAATGAATCTCAGGCCTCTCTTTGAGGGTAAAAGCGTGTTGCCTGCAACAGCACGTGTAATAATGTTTGCTGAAATATAAACTATGGCCCTATACCACAAGATGGCAGGTCAGAAGTCAACTGAGGATCTGGCCACAGATGTTCAGTAATAGAGATCAAAAAGCAATAGATCAAGTTCAGTACTTCTCCTTCAGGAGCAGGTTGCAGAAATTTCACATCCCATCTCCTTCACAGTTTAAGTGCACTCACTCTGCATGTAACAAAGCTGTACATCACAAATTGCCAGATTACTCAAAGTTCATGTTTCCTAATTTCTCCTCGTCCTGTGCTTGAGTATTTAATTATTTATACAGTGAGTTTGCTCTTATCCACAAACACAGCTCCCCTGAACCTCTGCAGTGTTTTTCAAGTCCGTCTACCAAAGTGAAGAATCATATGACACACCATTTAGTCCTCCCCCGCCCTTGATATATGTTTCCTAAAGCCGACACTTGATATTATGGAATGTGTTGTAATCAATTCTTAAAGTTACAGCACCACTGGATTTTTATTAACTTGCACAACAACAACAACAAAAATCCAACAAAAAATGGGCCCTCATAATCAGTCAGCCTGGTTATATCCTGAAAGCTGCTTTAACAAGCAGGGAGTAATATAGTGTAATTGGTACTCCACAATTTAATTGTTCTGTTCTTAAATCTAATATTGCAGCTGTGGGTTAAGTTTACACCACAGCTTTCAAGAGAACATGAAAGTGTGGTACATCTGTGCAACAGAAAGCTAAACATCTCTCATCTGATGTGTTTACAATGACATTTGATAGCGTGGAATTGTTTGGAGTTCATTCTTAAAGCTGCAGAACTGCTTTTCAATGCTGCAAAGAAAAAAAGGGAAAAGCTTCCAATTTCCTTCCAGCAACTCAGCCCACACAAGCCTGAGGATAATGCTGCTGTGGCATTGCAGGGAAACTGTTGGCTTTAACAACTCCTTCAGGTGGCTTTGAGCATTGTCACTCAGGCAGGGGACAAGGGGACAAGCACATCTTCCCCCTCAGATGATACAACAATTATTTGAAAAATGAACGACTCAGAAAAACTGGACAAATAAAACAACCCCTGACATGAATAAAACAGACAAGAATATTTCAAGAAATGTTATTACATGGATGACTTAAGCACACATAGAAATGATGGAGTTTTCTGTTTAACAGGTGGCAGAACTGCTCATGGTATTGAACTTCACATTCTATATAACTAACAGCTTCAGCATTATGTACTTGTTAGTGAATTTATTAGGCCCATAAGTAGTTCAAGAAACTTAGGAATGGGCCCGTAAATGTCATCTGCAGTTTGTGAACTGCAAGTATCTGACTGTTTTGATCAAGGTTTTTACGGGAAAGTTAAATGGTTATTAAAATTATTTACTACTGCTCCACGAAAAGGGAGCAAGCCCTGCCGAAGAACTTACATTGGGAGAAGATGGGATAGGTTGTAGGTCAAATGTGTTGGCACAAAAGCATTTCTGTTCATGTCTAAGCCCAAATTTCTGTACAATTCAAAGCTTAGAGTGCATTTCAGCAGCTGAGAAAAGGTCTGTGGATGGGTGGAGGCATTCTCCCTTTCCCATAATCTGCCATCAGAAACACATGATCTGATCAGGCTACTTCTCTTGTTCTCAGCATTAATCTTTTTCTAACATTTTCTGTCCTTGGAGAAATGCATGATAGTGCAACTTAGTAAAAGAGATCACTTTCTGCTCATTCCTCTGTAGCAGTCCACACCGAGGTCTTGATTTATTCTCCTTAACAGATAAAAGTCAGTCTCACTGATGAAGCTCAGCTATATTACACTAGAATCTATTAATTTTTTTTTAAACTTTATTATTTCAGTCACAATTAAGACTATCTGGAGCCTCTTCATAAAAAGGGGCCATACCAAAAGCTGTACGCTAGCAACTCGAAAAATGGATGCATTCATCCTGCATCAAAAATACCGTAACAAGGACAGATCTCCTGGGGAGGCAAATCTGTATCAATATTTCAGTCTCTTGAATACAGAAAATTGATACAACAAGATGCAACACCCGAACTTCCCCTCCTTTCAATTAACTGAGAAATAAAAATTGTCCTTAGAAGGGAAGAAATGCGTTTGTGTTTTTCAGTTTTCGGGTTTTCCGCCCTTTCATAGCATCATAATGTTCTCTTCGGAGGTGGAAAACTTAATCTTCAAGTTCAAGCCTAGTTTCTTCATACAGTTCAGGATGAGATGACTTGGAATACCGGGAATATTTCAGTTGTAGAAAATCACCCAATTCATCCAGAGCATTCAAAACCTGTAAGACCATTTTACTTTGTCAATTCTCTTGGAAAAGAAATGAAGTTCTAGTAACCTCTATTTTACAGCAGAACAAGATTATAAAAAACATCAATTAAAGAAAGTTTAAAGGACAAATGGGTGATTTTTGCATTCATCCCACTGTAGTGAACATCAATGCAGTCACAGATGTACAACAGCATCTGTGAGAACAGAATTTACTCCTTCAGTAGGTTATGGTTTGTTAGTAAGTACATTAATTGAACACAGATGAAAAAAATTACTTTTTCTAAAAACACAGAGATATAACAACCCAGACAAAAAGTTATCTTTGCTTGTGCAAAATAAATGTGTAAGGCTATGCTTCAATATTTGCCTATAGCTCCCAAGGACTGGAGTTGCCACTGCAATTTCTCAGCTAGGACTCATCTCACAGTGCTGATCAGAGTCAACATAAATAGCCTGAACAGTTTAAGATGATTTTAGTGCATTCCATTATCTTAGACTAATATCACAGGCACAATTAATATTATTATTAAGTAATACTGTAATGCAATTTGCTGAGCTGTCCCCCCAGCTCTCAGTAGATTCAAAAAATAGATAAGGAACTTTGTACCACAGAGAGGCAGCTCAGTGTTTTGCAGCATCTGACCCACATTCAAGATCAGTCAACTTTTTGGCATCAAGAAAGAAAACAGCAATTTTGATTTTGAGCCTGTTTCTGTTAAGCCACTAAAACGAGTTCATGAACAAAAAAGAAGTAATTTAGTAATGGTTTATGCAGAGAGATAGCTTCCAGGTCATTAAGGAAGTTATTTTTGGGAGCTTGCCCTTTCATGGATCTTTCCTCTTTAGTTCCAGGCTGAGATTCAAAACAAATTTTGCCAAAGGGAAATGTTTTCATTGTGCTTGTTACCTGTTGTTACCCTGGGTTTAGGCATGTTCACAAAGCATTTGTCTTAAAAGCTTTCCATCTGCAAGTAATTCAGCTCAGGGCATTTCCATGGACTGTAAGGACATTTAGAGAATGCCACGAGTACTGCAGCAGAAACACAGCATGTTCAGTGACAACTGTGGAGCATTTCAGACCTCCAGTGGTACCAGGAAGCAGCAATGTCCCGGTAATGAACATGAAATGATGGCCCAAAAATGTACTGGGCTTGACATTTGGGAGCGAGGGGAGAGGAAGAAAATCAAAGCAGTGACCTCAAGAGATTAATCTCCAGATCAAGGTCATCGCCTATTAGGAGTTACTTAAGCCAAAATCCACACAGCACAATACCCAAAGCTGACAGTGACCAACACAAAAGCTATGCCCTGTCCTATGAAATATTGTCTTTATGGTATTGTACCTTGCTAATAACTACTGCACCTTTAAAAGCAGAAGGAATTTTATGCTGCACACATGCAAGGCAGATTTTTTGATGTTGTTTGATAGCAATCTACACTGATGTGGGAGCTGGTCAGCAGGGCAGGGCTCCAGCCTCAAGATCCATGTGAATCTCAGGATGCAAATGCAGAGCCAGGAACTCTCTGCAGGCACAGGTGCTTGTCTGCATGAAGAAGTGGCATTTTTAACTCAAATGCCTTCCACCTTCACAGATTTTTTGCTTTGACCATCACACTTGTGCAAAGAGAGGAAAAAGAAAGTCTGAAATTTGCCGTTAAGCCTCTTGTGGTGGCTTATTCTGAGAATGAAAGAACGTATCTCAAGCCAGGCCAGAAACACCTTCGGCAAGAAAGGGAGATGGAAAATCTCAAAGCGTTTATTTTAAACACATTTCTGACTGTGTTGGAAAGGAGGTTTTTACGATGGAAGTCTCAACATACTCCTAACGGTATTGCTGATATCAGAGGAAGATACAGAACTGAGACAGGCCAGACAGCATCAATTAAACTTAATTAGGTTCAAACAGTTCCAAATACTGTTTGCAATTTCCACCTGTACCCCCAGGGCTGTCCCATATACTTTCTGCAATTCAAGAAACACGTGAAGATAACGGCTATGGAAAACTTGATTTTCAATTATTTCCATATCGTTTCAGGTTTCCTACTCTGATAGTTCTGACCTAGCATTTAACTTTTGTCTTGCTGTGCTCTTCATGTAGGTCTTTATTAGTGATGACAGATTTGGTCACTAGTAGAAATAGAAAAACATAACAAGTTAACTGTCCCATAATTTATTTTAAAAAAGTAAAATATATAAGGCTCCAATGCCTTTAAAGATCAAGTGACAAGGCCAGAAAAACAAATGTAAAAATGAATTATTGAGTTTCAAAGTAACAGAGGCACAGCTTCTCCCAACCTCCTTTGCATCTGAAGTTAATTTTGGCAGGACATCTGCTGTGCTTACCGTGTCTAACATCTCCCGTGTATGTGCAGCTGACACACAAAACCGAGCCCTGGATTCCGTGATAGGAGTAGCTGGAAACCCAACCACGACCACCCCGATATTTCTTTCTAACATGCGTCTTGCAAAAGCCCTAAGGAGAGAAGAATTAAAAAAAGAGAGAGAAGAATTAAAAAAACATAAAAGTTATCTCCAATAACTGACACAGAGAGAAAACATCCATGTATAATAATGATATTGTATATAATATAGGTATAATAGGTAAAATCCTGTCTTCAAGTGAAGCAGATGGTAATATTCCCATTGATTTCCTTAAGAGCCAGAATTTTACCAGTAGGACTGAGAATCTTTGCTGCTTAGCAGCTCATGAAGCACAGTAGGTGTCAAATACTAGAAGTGTGATGGCAGAGAGGGCACTGCAGGATAGACACATTTATGTCACTGGAAGGCTTTGAGTGCATATCAAAATGTGGGCATTCACAGCCCCTAAGCATGGAAGAGGTTGGGCTTCTGGAAGGCATGAGAGGTTGGTTCCTGCACATCAACAGGCATAAAACAATCTGTGTCATGGTTTATCTGCTCTTACAATTACTCTACCAGTTAAGAAGCTTTTTTTGTGGTGTGTATGAGAACTGGAGCACACAGTCATGCTAAGCCCTTGCAAATACTCCCCACAGCTCAACCCTTACATTATGCTACCACTGACTCCTGGTCTGGGTGTCCAAGTCAGTGCACAAGTGCTGCTTGAGAGGAACTGAGTGGTAAAACATGCAAAGACCATTCAAAGATCAGATGGGGGAAAAGAACATCCATCCAAACCAATTCATACATCAAAGGCAATGTGTCTCCTTTAATGATTACAAATTAAAAAAAATATAAAAGAAATCCAAATTAAAAATGTTACCAAATGTATTATTCCAGACCACGTTAAAAAAGGATAAGAGAAAAATCTTAAAATTCTGAACACTGGAACAACTCAAAATTAAGTCTAGGGCCAAACTTAAAAGAGAACAGAACTAAATGATGAATTGAACAGTGCATGTTTTCTCAGGAAGTATCTACCACACAGAGCTACATTTTCCAAAGTGTACACCAAATAACCTATGAGCCTGAATAATGTTGGTTTTGCTAACAGGTTTTTTTCAGTACTTACCCTATTTTACCAGGCATATAAAGGAGTAAGGGGACAACGGGTGAATCATCATTGCCATAAATAATGAAGCCCATTTCATGCAGTTTTCGTCTGAAGTACCTTGTGTTTTTCTCCAGCTGGCGCACTCTTTGGAGCCCTGAAATGAGCCAGTCAGGAGAACAGTCAGTGCAAAGATCATAACTGGAATAGGCAAAAAACAGGGCTGTGGGTGAAAGGTACATGTTGCTATTTGACAGAAAAGAAAAACATGGAATGAGCTAGATGTAACTACATTGATTATTTTGGCATTGTGGGATGGACGACTGATACTTCTGTACTTGTGAGGTAAACCAGTCCCTATAGAGAAGTAGTCATATGTCTCTGTGGACACTAGACATGTAAGTAGAATATATTCTTTCTCAATGGACTATAAGGTGAATAACCAATGTCTATAGAAGCCAGTATCTTTTCTCATTAACAATATTCCACAGGGGTCCTCTTATATCTTAGCTAATTCTGCATGTTTGTTTGTTTGGTTGGTTTTTTATTCTGTGACTGTAATAAAGCTTAAAGCATAAAATACTGCATTTTGGCTCAGCTCGTGCTGATGCTTTTGTTGCAATTTTTTCTGGATAGAGGAAAAGCACATGATTAACTTTGTTATTATACAAGACCTGATCTTCTGCACGTTACCAACATGCAGCATAAGTCCAGTTACTCTAATATGCATTTACATATGCAATCCCTTACTGAGTTCTGCTCAGTTTCTCTGTCCTCTTCTCTTGGTACTATTATCTTGATACCATCATATGACAACAGACTTTAGTCATTCAAGACTTTAAGACACAGGATTTGTTCTCTGCATTGTCCCCGGCCTCATTCAGTCATGGATCCATGGATGTGACCCCCAGCAAAACTAACAGGAGAGTTGAAAACAATTATTTTTAATGAAGGAAAAAGATAAGAAACAGCAGAGAAAAAAACGTGCTTGAAAAGACATCTCAGCCTTTTCTTTTGCAGTGCCACTAAGGAGGTAGTTTCTGACAAATGCAATTGCTTCCCAACCCATTGCATAAAAAGGGAAGAGCCACTCTCTACATTATTGTAAGTAGGAGATATAGTATGTCCTTTCACCAGTCCACCTGCATTATATTTCATCAGTGAGCTGATATACGTGCTGTTTTTCCAGTGCTGTGAGGTGCTGACAGGGTTGGTGCCACCTCCCCCATACTCACGTGGCTCCCCAGTGCCAGCCCTGGGTTCACAAAGACACAGGGCCAATAGAGCCAGGTCTGTCACTTGGTCAGAAACAAAACTGCCCAACCACTGTTAAAAAGACCAGGTCTCTCAACCCGATTGCTGTGCAGCAGCTTGTGTCTGCCCAGCAGAGGTGGCAGGAATGTGTGGTCAGATCGGGATTTAGCAGGACACAGTTACAGATTTAGCTTTCATATTCCTGCCATTCATCAGCCCATACTTTCAATATCACCTATGTTGTGTCACTAGACACGAGCACTGAAACCTTCAGTACAACTCATTTCCTCTCTTCCCTTTGCTCTTAAGACGCCTTTGCACAGATTAATTACATTTTCACTCTCCATTTACTTTTTCATTTTACTTTACTTTTCGTTTGCTTCATTCTTCATTTACTACCTACTGCTGTCACCCTTCTCTGACTGAATGCCTGTCTCCTAATTTCCCATCTTGCTTTGTGTAACCACAGTGGCCAGTTAGGCATTTGTAGCTGCTACATGCCACCTTTGGCAGATTTGTCCTCAGACCACATTCTGCCCCTGCCTGGCTTTTCTTCCTTTTCCTTCTTGGCTGAGGTGGGAGATCACCACAGCTACATAAACCTCTTCTCCATTAATCATTTATTGTGTAGGTTTGAAGAAGATCTACTGCTTCATCTGTTCTGTATCCTCCCAAGTCAAGGTTCTGTCAATGTTCTGGCTGGGAAATTTATAGGGAAACTGGGACCTGCTTCACAGTGATCGGTGTTTTGCTTGAGCAAATTAAAAGATCTCATAAAACCAGTGCATTTGTAACTTTATGCACAAAACTGCCCATGAAGACAACCTGTTAGTTACAGTCTCAGTCATTCAGTTTAAAGCATGTAGTGGAAGAGATCTGCTGGGTTAGAAAAGGCCACAAATAGTTTAACCATCTCTCTAATGCTGCTAAAACAAAAACAGCTGTGTCAGAGCAAGGAAAACAAATGAAACACAAAAGCATCCTACTACAAAGCTTTCCAGTCACAAATAAAAACAATAGTCTGTGGTATTTCCAAAAATATTTTTGGTGTAGTAGATCTCAAGAAACAGGAGGAAATATTGAGGAGGAGGAGGGGAAGGGAGATGATGGCAAGGAAAGGGAGTTAGAGAACTGCAGGATAATGTGGCTGAAGTCTAAAGAGAGACTTTTCCCCTTGTTAGAATTTGTAAAGATATTATTAGCACCTCCTCAATGCCCAAATTACAAGGAGGAGGGAGAGGGAGTGACCTGAACTGGGGGCTCAAAATCACTGCTGTTCCTTGCTATCTTCGCAGCCCCTGAGCTAGTTTCCAACCTCCCAGTTGGAGAGCATTTGAAACTACTAGATTTTCAATTAGGGAAAGTTTTCACAAATGCAGATGTTCTTGGCGAGTGCAGTTCAGGACTTGCTGCCTTCTCCTTTCTATTCAGCTGTTTACCACAAAGCTGGAAACACAGTGTCAGCCACGCAAGATTACGGGCTGTTCCCTATTTATCAGACCATATGCGCAGGGCACTGAGCTGATCAGTTTGTCTCTACTTATTTTCAGTATCAGAAATTTAGATTCCAAAGAAGGGGAATACAGCAAAGGAAACATTAGAGCTGAAAGAGGAGGCTTAGGCAACCTCCCCAAAGTCAAACACCTCTTCCTTTTCCAATCTTCCCTGCCTGATTCTATATCCTCAACCAGTTTGTGGTGGGAGGGATCCCCTTCGAGGCTCCCTGTGGAGCTTGTTTCAAGCCAGCCAGTGTTGATGCAAAAGAGCCACTTGAATTTTTTAGCAACATCCCAGAATGCTAATTTTATTTGCAGGGATGCATTAAAGAGCCAAATAAAAGATCAGAGCGCTCACATATATCTGGAGGGGAAAAAAGCACATTAGGAGACGATTGCTACACACATTGTATTTGTGGGTGGGTGGCTGGGAGGAACCTGTTTCTTTACCAAGTGTCAACACTTTCCTTTCTCATGTTCAGTTTTGTGGTCAAAGACCACAGATACACATCATATACACAGCCATCTTATATGCTGTCCCAATAAGAGCAATAAAACCCCTAAAGTTCATAGCTGTATTTCAGCTCTTTTTCATCCCTTTATGGGACCTTCCAATGTCAGATAAGGAGGCAGATGTGAGCAAAATGTTTTTATTTTTTTTTCACATTGGCCCAATTTCCCCCCTACACTGCAGATTAAGAGTGGTGAATTCAGTGTAGAATCAGATCTTAATCCAAATTCACTATGGTATGTTTAACCAAAGACACTGCTTTTAAAAAGTATTTTCTTTGATTCCCAAGGCTGTGATCTTGCATACTTTATTATTTACTGAGGGAGAATCTGCAGAGCAGACTCTTGAGCTAAAAGGATATGCTGCAACTATGTGAGTGTAAGAATTTACCTGTGTGGCACTAATCAGAGGATCAGGTGCCTAGACAGTAAATGTATGTGTTAAAAAATTCTTAGTTTGCAAAATCCTCGAGGATTTACAGTCTATGAAGAGCTTATAGCACAGCATGCAGAATATCCAGAAAGTTGTATTTCATAAAATATGTGAACCACAACACAGCATATGTTTGGAGAAAACAGCCTGGACAGGGAAAACCAACCCTTCACTAGTTCACACTAAGCTCACTAGTGCTCCAGAGTTTTAAGCTAAGGCAGAGAACAACCTTATTAAAGCCTCTACATATTCTTAGCTGAATTAAGAAGGGACAGAAAGAGAGAAGAATGAATGATAAACGATTCTCAAATTTCCCAAGGTATCTTTACACTGCTTGGAACATACATAGCCAGCTTATTGGGATTGTTTTGAAGTACAGGATTAATTACCTGGATGGTACAAGAAAACCAGAATTTACTGCATCAGCAATCCACCTACTGCTGGCAAATTTGAAGTTTACGTTTGTTGTACCACTTTAAAAATATTTAGTTTGCTGTGAAGTCCTAAGGTGTTGGCAATTCTGGGAAAAATGCTGATTATATTTTTATTTGACACGCATCATTGCATACCGCTGGCTTTCCCTCATTAATTTCTGCAGGCTTTTAGAAAGTTTTCTAGCTCAAAATTAATATGGTTTGGCTGAAGGAAAAATACAAAGAGAGGGCAAGAGAGACAGAAATAATAAAAGATAGTGGCTTGCTCATAATGTCTTTGAAGCAACAACCTTTTTAAGAGAGTCACTTTGAGTAACAGACTCAGTAGAAGTTTTGTCACACGCTTTCAGGGAGGAGCTGCTCTGGCATTTGACAGCAGGAAGGTATCCTGACTACTCATCTTGGGATGGCTTTACCATGCACAGCTCCAGCACTTCAACAGAGCTCTGCTGTTTATGCCAGCTGAGGACCTTATACTGGCAGCAAAAGAGGCAGTAAAACTATCAGCTCTCTGAAACAAAAAAGTTTGTTTTCCTCCTCCAGAGATGTCTGCTTTTCCCTCCTGCAAGATGTTAATAAAGCAGAGAAACTGGCTGTGTTCAATTCCTGCACAAACATTCTACCTTTGAACTCTTCCTGTAGGCTTCTACCCTTGGAAATCCTGACTCAGTATATTGAAAACAGCAATAAGCAACCTGTAGCCTTTCATATCAAGATCTCAGGTGTACTTTAATTGAAGGAGAGTTATTTTTCCTGAACCCATTCCAGGAAAGATAATCCCATGCTGTAGTGGTTTTTGGCACGCAGTGGCCTCTTCAAGACCCAAATGCACCTGCTTTAATCTTCTCCAGCTGTTGTTTCATAGGGTCTTTCTAGATAATTAGTTACACAATCAAACTTTTACATACTGGTGTCAGTGTTCCTTGGATGGAAAACTCTACTCCCTGCCCTCCTCTACTAGCAACTAGATAGTAAAAAGCAAACTTTCAAAGGCTGAAAAAAAAATTGGAAAACAATAGCTCTTCCCCAC